AAAACAATAAAAAAAAGAGGATAAATTCAATGTAACGATTAAAGGCCTAAACAGAATAGCTTCGCGAAAGCGATATATTCGTATCCTTTTCTATCTCATGCATCTCGTTCGAGAACGACTTTCGCGAAGCTATTGTGCGTTGGCCCTTATGCTTTCAGCGTCAGAAATGCATGCACATGCGCAGTGTGAAAAATGGGAAATTTGAAATTTAAAAAATAAAATTGAAGTCTGTAAATAAAATGAAATTAAAATATTTGTTTTCATTTAATGGATATTTGTATATTTTATAATAATTTCTTTTTATTTTGTAATTGTATTTTTAATTATTAATAATATTTAAAAGTACATTTTTTTATTGTTTAATTGTATTTTAAATTAATAATAATATACATTATATTGATATACATACATATATTGTTTACAAACATTTTTTAAGAATAACAATATTTACCAATAGACAAATTTTGGAGTTATTTTATTGAATAAAATATATAACATTTTTGTTGACATTTGATGCGCTTGAAGTTAGAAATCCTTCATGTCTAAAGGTAATGCAGATTTTCATTTTCAACTGTTTTTACAAAACATTTTTTAAACGGCTTTGCCCCCAATGACAAACATTTTTTATTTTTAAAATTTCACTTATATAAATAAAAAAATGAATTTAAATTTAATGCAGATCGTGTAGATAAATGATTCATTTATTCAATCGAAATATTTTTAAGACCCAAGTGCTTAAAACTATTTTTTAAATTTGAATCTTCGATCAACGAAATTTTCATCTCTTCCTTGCAAAAACTATTTTTATATTATATTTCTTATTGTACTTAATATTTTCGAGTTTTTTTCTTTTCTAATTAATTGCTTTAATCATATTAATAATAAACTGTAAACAAAAATTGTATTAGATGAGAAAGAAGGAAGATATTTTGAAAAACGCCTTTGCCCCACATAGCGGCTTTGCCCCGCTCTCCCCTACATATATACGTATCTATAACGGGAAAAGATTTCGAAATTTCCTCAATTTTTCAATGGAGGAGCAGTTATAAATATATTTATATAGGGGCTTGACAAAATACAATATTTATTTACATTCTTTTTCTTCTTTCAATGCACCGTTAACTTCTGTAGCTTCTTTTTTACGTTGAATAGAAATTAAAAATTTAACCTAAAAACAAAAATTGCGCGCGCATGTTAAAAATTCAAATTATAATTAGAAAAAAATGGAAAATTATAAATAAATATTTATAAATAATTTATATATATTGTAATTAACAAAATTAAAAAATGTTTATATATATTAGTGTACGTATATACATATATAAAGGAAGAGAATTTTTTAACAAATGATTACACGAAGCGTAAAGAGTGTAATATTGAAGTTATAAGTATAAACGTAATGAAGAGGCTGTGATGCCATGGCAAGATACACGCAATGATGTGAGGTTAACGGCACGAAAAAGATTCTCCACTCTTGTATATACGAGCAACCTACTTAATTGTGCAGGCAACTCTTATATATGTATACAAAAGTGGAACGACATTAACGAATGGTCGAATTCCTCAGGGATCTTATAATTTTCATTCCAATTTCCGCACAACATTCCAAATAATTCAATAAATGAAAAAGAAGAAGGGAAACAAATTTTTTCTTTTCTTTCTAAAGTGATATATAAATATAATTTATATTTAATATCTATAATTATAATATAATTATAATTCTTACGCGAATAAATGTTTAATAATAAAAAAACTATTCAAATTAAACAAATTAAAAATGTAAAGAAAAAAGAATTTTCCCTCTCATTGTGAGTTTATGTTCCTTGAAGGATTAAAAAAAATTATATGAATATAATTTGTAGTCAATCAAAAATTCTCATCTGAGGTAACCGTTATTTTTGATGAGGAATCAGTATATATTGCTGAGGTTAAAACTTAAAGAATGCTCAAAGAAAGATAGTAAGAGACGGATGAGCATAATTGAATTATCATTCATCAATCTGGTTATAGCGGTGAATGGGAATATGGAAATTTTGTAATTTTCTTATACCCCTCATATTGAGCTTATTCAAATAAAAAAAATACCTGTCAGATTTATGAAGTTGCGCGCGGCCTCTACGTATATTAGAAAAGAGACGGGGCATATCTATATAGCTGCTGATTTCCATGAAGTAGGAGGAAAACGACATTCCTCAACAATGAGTCGATTCAGCATCCAACTTCTACGCCCAAAAATATAATCACCGCGAACCCATGGATTTTATCTCAAAAATTTTCTCTCACTTTTTTCAATCAGTAAATTACATATTATAATTGGAGAATTTTCTTATTGAAAATGTGTCAATAGATATAAAAATTATCTTCTTTTCTTAGTATATCAAAAAATAAAACATTTTTTTAAGAAAAAAAATGTCGAAAAATTTGAAAAAAAAATTTGTTCTGTGTCTATTATAATGATATTCAAGTGACATTTACAAATTCGCTAGTAAGGATATTTTCTATAAATCGCGCGCTCTCGTCATAGTGAAGAAACATTCTTGAACGTTTGACCTTTCTTTTATAAATATATATATATATATATATATGAGCTTTGAAACGAAAATATAATCCAGCCTTCGAATAATTGACATTTCATTAATATAATATTTTTCTTATTGTATTATGTACCAAAAAAATAATAAACAACAAAAAGAGAACATAGAAAAAAAATGTATTATTGTAATAAGTAAATTTAAAAAATATTAAATATTGCAATTTTACAATTTAGAAATTCGTTCAAAAATTATTTTTACAAATTTTTCACATTATTCACTTATCTCCTTTTCTATAAATTATAGTTTCGAATCACGCACGGTTTAACGAGCGGATAGATATAAAAAGCAGTATATAAACCATATTATGTATTATGTATATTATAAAAATCGTGATAATTATATTTTTACTTAATATTAAACATTTTATTTGCCTTAATTTACTCTATTAAAATAGGGCTTAAGGGTTTCGACAGTTTTTCTAGTTTCCACGAGAGTTAAAATAAACTGTAATATATTTAGTAAAAAAAAGCGTGGACAGAATAATAAAGTTCGCGGAAAGTTACACAAAAAAAACCTGGTCTCACGCTACTCATTTTGAAGTGCACCAAAAATGAGCCAGGTTGGTGGCGCCACTGTCTATGTCGTTTAGAATTGGCTCATTTTGAGTTGCAACAAAAATGAGACTATGTTTTTTCTGTGATATATAGCGAGAAGCCTTTTATATAAATCATTCGCAATGGGCAAATACAAACGTATAGTATGTATATATAAAGACAGAACATTTCAATGTGGATTTGAGTGAATGCGTTCGCATTTCAAATCGGTTCACGCGCTTTCTAGAGAGAAAAGACGTGTGTGCACGTGCACGATAAAACATCCGCAGACACGACATGTATACGTCATCAGAGTACTTGGACCTCACGAGCTCATTCACCTGCGCTATTGCCTTTCATCATGACCTTCTAAGACTTTGCCGATGACAACAATTTCTATACACTTCATTTTTTTTTCTTCTTCTTTTCTTCTTCAAACAATCGCTCTTCATTAGAATTTCTGATTCATATTGTTGTTATTATTACTACAACGCATGAGCTGTAGTTTCCATGACAAAAATATGCATAAAAGAAGGACAGAGATATGTTTCGTCGGCATATCTGATAAAATATTTTGAGGTTAGGTCTCCGCCCATAGCTTTAAATTTTAAAAAAAAATGAAAATTCAAAGAATGTCAACTTTTTTTGTCGAATTATTCTCTGGAGGCGTGGTGTGATAATAAATAAATCCTCCTCAGAAAAATTCAAGTCAATAAGGGTGGCTCTCGATCTCACAGTCGAGGTCGGTGACACGGATCAATTTCCCGGAAACGATACGATCATCATGAATGCTTGTCAAACCAGATGTGAGAAACCATAAAACTTGTCTAGCAAGCTTGATGTCATGTCGATAATGCAATGAACTTGCGGATATATCCAACTGTCACCACCTCAGGCGCATCATCATCATCATCCAAATCGCTATTTGTATGACGCGCATTTCACTCAAAGAATAAGTGAATCTCAGACAAACTTCTCCTTCAACCTACCTACTCCGTGTATGTGTTGACTTCCCGCGCGCACTAAAAACGATCGAGGTCGATGAGTCTTTCAACCAACTGTGTGAGAGAGAGCCTCTTGTGTGTGCTGGTTAGTCGCCTTTCGTAAACATTCGCTAACGGTTGGCCTCCTCATTCTCTTTCGTATGAGCGCCTCTTCACAATGTGCGGAGTGAAAAAGAAAGAAAGAGATAATGACCCTAAAGCCATAATCATCAGGGTGGCCCATACAGTCAAGGTGCCATTCCCCCTGCCGACCCTCTTGATGGTCAAGTTGATAATAATCACCTGTTCCTTCTTATAATGGCCATTGTTCTCATCCTTTTTCAGAGGATTCAATCATCTCATTCCACTAAACAATCCACTTTCATCTCATCCAGAGACTGTAATTAACCCCGGAAAATTTGATACAACAAAATTTCTACATTTTTAAACTGTTTTTTAATTTGAAAATTTCTAATGTATCAAATTCTATTTCTATTTTTGATAGGCCTATTAAGGGCAATACTTTCACTTGCTAAAAGAATTAGACTCTAGAACAAATAATTATTTGGTATATAAGTATAATTATGTACCAAGATATCAATTAGATTGATTAACAATCAGGAATGTGAGAAAAAAACAAAAGCTTTTTACATTCTTTGAAGAATCGAGATTTTTAGGTTTTAAACCAAACTGAAGAAAGCAGGTGGACAAACATTATTACGATATTAAATTATGGCACTAAATTCAAGTAGGCTTTGATGAATTCGACTTGTAATCAAACACTGCGATTTTCAAAAATAACACAAATTTCATTATAAATAGAAATATTCTTCTTGTTCCCATATTGTATAAATATAGATTTTAACGATTCTTCTGTATTTTGTTTACAGGATGGGAACTAAGGGGAATCCACTGTTACAAATTCTTCAATATCAAGCATTCATGGGAAAAAGCAGCCGAGCTATGCAGAAGGTAAGTTTTATGCCGCAGAAAGATGATTGGCACTAACATTCAACTCAAAAGATTTAGCGAGAGAAAGAAAGAGATGAGAGTATATCGCTTTCCAGAGAATATAAATATTTGTGCTTTAAAATTTTACAATGTATCGCATCTTTTTTCAATATATGTTAATTTTCTTCTATAGTCTTTTTATCAGGCAAACTATCCTTAAAAATATACATCTAAGAATTTATTTTAATTCTATATGAATTTTCCCCTAGTGTTTATTTTAAACATTTGCTTTGAAAAACAATATAGCAATATTTTATACATTAAAGATAATTATATTTTTTTTATATAGGTATGGAAGCGAGCTGATGGTAGTGGAATCATACAGCGAGAACAATATGACTGTGGGAATGATTGGACGTAATTTGGACAAATATTGGCTGGGTTTGGCATCTCTCGATGATTTAAGAACCAATACCCTTGAGTCAGCGGCTGGCATGCTGGTCTCGCAATATGCCGGTACCAACAACTTTCTACTTTTAATCACTTTCGATTCTTGTATATCTAAATATACATATATATATAAGTTTGTTAAATCTTCTAATGCCTCGCGGGCTCAATAATTAGATAATAGTTTCATTATAAGTAACTTTACATTGACCATTCCATTATTTTAATGCACTAGACACTAAAAAAATTGATTGATTAAGATTTACATTGTCAAAATTAACGATTCTGATATTAGAAAAGAAATTAGAGAACCAGCTAAGCAAATCGCTTCACCCTATTAATTCCTATTATTTAAGTTCTGCTATTGATTAATTTAACTTCCTATTTGTTAAATTATTTTTTTCTTCATATTAATTCCCATAGCAAATTAACTCTTTTTGGTAATCTCTTCAGTTGATATAATTTCTTTGGCTAATTGATTCCCTTAGATTAATTTATTTAGCTAATTAATGCCTTTAGTATAATTTCCTTAGTTTAATAATTCTCTTCCATATACAAATATTTTTGTGATTTTCTTCATTGGATTGAATTTTTTACTGCCGCCTCAAGAGTAAACAGGAAGTATAAAGATATTGCGAATCCTACCTGAAAACCTGCTTCTAAAGACGCTTATCGACAGACAAGTTCCCTTACTACCATCAGTAGAATCGAATTGAGGTCGCGGAAATGCGGAACTCGCACGCGGCACGAAGACACACTTTTCCCACAACAATGGCCAGACATGATGATAATGATGAGCAAACATTGTGTGTATGCGTATTAATGGCAAGTTTTGTATAATTTGCGTGTCTACCGGAACGATGAGAGACATGTTTTGCATAATGCTCGCGATGGCATTAGGACTTTTTTGATAATATCAACAACAAATTTTTTTTCACAATTTCTTTCTTTGTAACTAGGTTTCTGGGCGTCGAAACAACCAAATCCTCACTCTGGCGAGTGTGTCGATGTCGCCATCACTGACGAACAACATCAATCTTGGGAACTTACAACTTGCGAATCCCTCTTGCCTTTCATGTGCCGCGCCAATGCTTGTCCTGCAGGTATTTTCGTAATCATCACTTTCTAATTATTTATTCCTGTTTTTTTCCTTATTATTTTTATTTTATTATAATATTTTGCTGATTTTAAAATCATGTTGTGCCACATTTTTCTGAAATATTGACACTTTCTGGTTGATCAATTATTATTTGCCGAGCAATGTTACGAGAGATTATTGACGCATTCGAATGGAACAATAACAGTTCCTTTGTGGGATATACTGTTATTATGATGAATTATTTATTGAGAAATATTTGGCTTTATAAAAAAACTGTTAGTGTCATTTTATTAAATTCTATTGTTATTGTCATTCATAAATTTATTGGCTTCTTATTATTCGTTATTTGATTAATTAATTTGATTTCGTTTCTAAAATCACCTTCTCACAAACACAATATAGGTTCCTTCCACTGTTCAAATGGCAAATGTATAAACTCCGCATTCAAGTGTGACAAACAAGACGATTGCGGAGATTTCTCCGATGAATTGGATTGTCCTGGAAATTGTCATTTCTACATGGCAAGTAGTGGCGATGTTGTTGAAAGTCCTAATTATCCACACAAATATGGACCCTTGAGCAACTGCAAATGGACACTAGAAGGTCCACAAGGTCACAACATTCTGCTCCAAGTAAGAATAATTTTAAAACAAAACTTGTTTAAATTCAGAATTAATCTTGAAAAATTGAAATTATAATAATTTACAACTAATCTAACAGTTCCAAGAATTCGAGACGGAGAAGAGTTTCGATATCGTGCAAATTCTCGTGGGTGGCAGAACAGAGGAAAAATCCGTCAACTTGGCAACTCTTTCGGGAAAACAGGAACTTAGTAACAAGCTATTTGTGTCCGCGTCTAATTTCATGATTATCAAATTCAGCACGGATGGTTCTGTGGAGAGAAAAGGATTCCGGGCTTCCTGGAAAACAGAGCCACAAACTTGTGGTGGAATATTACGTGCAACTCCCCAAGGACAAGTGCTCACGTCACCTGGCTATCCGCAAAATTATCCTGGCGGTCTCGAATGCCTCTACATCCTTCAGGCACAACCCGGACGAATTATGTCCTTGGAAGTAAGTATAAGCTATATACTAGCAAAGCAATTCCAACGTAATTATCCCCTATACCTGTCATTATTATGTTGTATAGTCACTAGATACAAAGGATTCATTCTCACGACTATAATACTTAAAGAGATCAGGATAAACGTCATCACATAATTCCTGTAATGTGGAGAGTTTTATATGCCTCAATTACGAATTCCTTAAACCCAACGATTTATATCTATCTACATTTTCTTAAAACATGCGTGAAACCGTCGATGTTTGACTATTGATTTCCTTTAGTTAAATAATTTCTTTACTTAAATTCCTCCTGTTGATAAATCCCTTCAGTTAATTAAGTCCTTGAGCTGTGAAATTAATTAGCTAAGAAAATAGCTCCAGCTAATTAATTCCTGTCGTTTAATTTTATAATTCCTTTAGTTCCCTTAGTTTGTTAATTTTAAACGAAATGTTTTTTTTATGAAAGATCGAAGACCTTGATCTAGAGATGAACCGAGATTACATTTTGATTCGCGACGGAGACTCACCAATGAGCCGACCAATTGCAAGATTGACGGGAAATTCTGAAGATAATCCGACAGTTATCATGTCAACTGGAAACAATCTTTACCTCTACTTTAAAACGAGTTTGGGTGACTCGAAACGAGGTTTCACCATTCGCTACACTCAAGGATGTAAAGCCACAATCATCGCTAAAAATGGAACTGTACAATCACCCTCCTATGCACTCAACGACTATCCAAACAATCAAGAATGTTTGTACAAAATTAAAAATCCCCAAGGTGGTCCTCTTTCGTTAAAATTCACCAATTTTGACGTTCACAAAACGGACTTCATTCAGGTAATTCAATATTCATTGACTTGATCTTTTGTAGATTTATAAATAAATTAACATTTATTGATGATTAAATAATATTTACCTTTTTTCTTCAGGTGTATGACGGACCCAATGCAAATGGCCTTAGGCTTCATTCTGGAAATGGATTCACATCGAATACTCGACCTAAAATTACCCTCACGGCAGAGAGTGGTGAAATGTTGATTAGATTTGTTTCCGATGCACTTCATAGTAGTATCGGCTGGCAGGCGGCATTTTCAGCTGGTAAGATCTAAAAAAGATAACAAGTAATAACCATTCAGTAAGTATTACATTAATAACAAAAAAAATTTCCAGATTGTCCACCACTGCATCCTGGAGAAGGAGCATTGGCATCCAATAGGGACACAGCTTTTGGAACAACAGTGACTTTCTCTTGTCTTCTTGGTCAGGAATTTGCAACCGGAAAATCCAAAATTTCCACAACCTGCTTACCAGGTGGTAATTGGTCTGTCACCTACATTCCAAAATGTCAGGAAGTTTATTGCGGTCCAGTTCCTCAAATAGACAATGGATTCTCCATTGGTTCAACAAACGTGACCTATCGTGGTTTAGCTACCTATCAATGTTACGCTGGTTTTGCTTTCCCATCAAGTAAACCAGTGGAGAAAATTTCCTGCTTATCTGATGGACGATGGGAGAAGAAACCTTCATGTCTGGGTAAGTTTTGTTTTGCACTATTTTTATAATCTTGAACATATTTGCTACTGGTTTAGAGTTTTTATTTTATATTTGCTTTTAATTATGTTTAGCGTCACAGTGTCCACCACTTCCTGAAGCACCTCACGCCAATATGACCATTTTGAATGGCGGAGGTCGAAGCTATGGAACCATTGTAAGATTCGAGTGTGAACCAGGTTACGTTAGAAGTGGACATCCAGTAATTCTTTGTATGAGCAACGGTACCTGGTCTGACGATGTTCCAGTTTGTTCCCGTAAGTAGAGAATAAATTTATCAACAATAAGAATCAGTAAAAATTATCTAAGCATTCTTTTCTCCCCAGGCGCCAAGTGTCCAATACTTCCAACAATTAAAAACGGTTTTGTCGTTGATTTAACTAGAGAATATTATTTCGGTGATGAGGCTAGAGTTCAGTGTAACAGAGGATACAAATCCACCGGTTCGAATATCATTCAATGTGGTACTAATCAGCATTTCGACAATGTTCCCACCTGCGAAGGTAAATACAACAGCTAAATTATTAATTAATTAATTAATTTCCCTTCTCTAAATTCGTCACAGTTTAGTTATCGATAAATAAATATTTACAGACATTAACGAGTGCGCATCAAGTCAATGCGATTCGGCTTCAACGGAATGCATCAACACCTCTGGGGCTTTTACCTGCAAATGTAAATCCGGATTTACACCAACTATGGAATGTCGACCAATTGGAGATTTAGGTTTAATTAACGGTGGTATCCCCGATGAGTCCATTATTGTCTCCAGCTCTGAAGTAGGATATTCTAAATCCGTAAGCAAAGATATTTTCTATTATCATCATCATCATCTATCCTCAAGCTCATTAGTATTTATTTGTTAAATTATTATTCATCAGGGAATTCGTTTGAATAATGGAGATGGATGGTGTGGCAATAGCATTGAACCCGGAGCAAATTGGGTGACAATTGACATGAAGGCGCCAACAATTATCAGAGGCTTCAGAACTCAAGTTGTCGTCCGTTCTGATGGAAATACAGCTTTTGCGACAGCAGTTCGTATTCAGTATACTGATGATTTAACCGATGCAATGAAGGATTACACAAATCCAGACGGTACTCCAGTGGAATTTAGAATACTTGAGCCAACTCTATCGGTGTTGAATTTACCAGTACCGATTGAGGCAAGATTTATTAGGTTCAAAATTCAGGATTACGTTGGCGCACCTTGTGTTAAACTGGAACTTATGGGCTGTACCCGATTGGAATGTATGGACATCAATGAATGTGCTACGAAAAATGGTGGTTGTCATCAGAAGTGTATCAATAGCCCTGGCAGTTATTCCTGTATGTGTAACACTGGATTTGAATTATACAAAGGTAATGGAACAGCTGGCTTTAACATCGAAAAATCAGAAACAGGTGAACGTGATGGTGATTTGTATCAAAAGAACAAGACCTGTGTACCAGTTATGTGTCCCACTTTACCGGCACCAGAAAACGGTAAAATCTTATCAACAAATGATAAATTCCATTTTGGAGATTTAATTAAATTCCAATGTGATTTTGGTTACGTTTTGGCGGGTTCTTCGGCTGTTATTTGTACATCAAGTGGACAGTGGAATGGAACAACACCAGAATGTCAATATGCAAAATGTGTCTCACTACCTGATGATAAGAATGAAGGTCTCTCAGTAATCAGAAATGATGAAACAAGTGTTTTGGTTCCTTTCAAGCAAAATGTTACACTCAAGTGCAATAATAATGGACGTTATCTTCGAAATACTGCTTCTTCAAATTTCCGTCAATGTGTCTATGATCCAAAAGCAGGTCTACCTGATTATTGGCTATCGGGAATGCAACCCGCATGTCCTCGTGTTGATTGCGGTAAACCTTTACCAACACCTGGAGCAGAATATGGTCAATATTTGGATACAAAGTATCAATCATCTTTCTTCTTTGGTTGTCAAGATACATTTAAACTAGCGGGACAAACAAATCGTCATGATAATGTTGTTCGTTGTCAGGCAAATGGCGTTTGGGATTTTGGAAATTTACGTTGTGAAGGTCCAGTTTGTGAAGATCCTGGTAGACCAAGTGATGGTTTCCAAACCTCAAGAAGTTATGAACAAGGATCTGAGGTTCAGTTTGGCTGTAATCGTCCGGGTTATATTTTGATAAATCCCAGGCCTATTGTTTGTCTCAGGGAACCTGAATGTAAAGTTGTTAAACCTCTTGGTCTATCGTCAGGACGTATTCCTGATTCAGCAATTAATGCCACATCGGAGAGACCAAATTATGAGGCCAAGAATGTTCGATTAAATTCAGTTACCGGTTGGTGTGGAAAACAGGAACCTTTTACTTATGTCACAGTCGATTTAGGACGAGTTCACCGTGTTAAAGCTATTCTTGTAAAAGGAGTTGTGACCAATGATGTTGTAGGCAGACCAACAGAAATTCGTTTCTTCTACAAGCAAGTCGAGAGTGAAAGTTACATTGTTTATTTCCCTAATTTCAATTTGACCATGAGAGATCCGGGTAATTATGGAGAATTGGCAATGATCACTCTTCCTAAATACGTTCAAGCACGGTTTGTAATTCTCGGTATTGTCAGTTACATGGACAATGCTTGTCTCAAATTCGAACTAATGGGTTGTGAAGAACCATCAGTTGAGCCATTACTTGGATATGATTATGGATTCTCACCGTGTGTTGACAATGAACCACCAGTCTTCCAAAATTGTCCTCAGCAACCAATAATGGTCCAAAAGGGAGCCGACGGCGGTTTACTACCAGTTAACTTTACCGAACCAACAGCTATTGATAACAGTGGCAGTATTGCTCGTCTAGAAGTGAAACCCCAAAGTTTCAAAACACCAATTCGAGTTTTTGAAGACACTGTCGTCAAGTACGTTGCATTTGATTATGATGGCAATGTCGCTATTTGTGAAATTAACATAACTGTTCCTGATGTAACACCCCCAAAACTGAGCTGTCCTCAAAGTTATGTTATTGAACTGGTTGATAAGCAAGAGAGTTACAATGTCAACTTCAATGAAACTCGGAGACGTATCAACGCTACTGATGCATCAGGTCCGGTTAAAATTACGTTTGTTCCTGAACGTGCAGTCATACCTATTGGCAGCTTTGAGAATGTCACCGTTTACGCCACTGATTCCAGTGGAAACAGAGCCTTTTGTCATTTCCAAGTTTCGGTTCAGGCAACACCTTGCGTCGATTGGGAATTAAAACCACCAGCTAATGGTGGTCTTAAATGTCTACCAGGTGACAAAGGACTTCAGTGTATAGCGTCTTGTAAATCGGAATACAGATTCACTGACGGATCATCAGTGAAAACATTTACCTGCGACTCGGCAAGACATTGGGCACCATCATCCGTTGTCCCCGATTGCGTTTCTGAAAACACCCAAAAAGCCGATTACCATGTGGTTGCTTCTGTAACATATCGTGCCAATGGCGCTGTCTCCCGCCCTTGTCTTCCACAATATCAAGATCTAATGGCTCAGTACTATCTAAATCTCAACAATATTTTGACCCAACGTTGTTCGGCCGTTAATGTTAATATGAATGTTTCCTTTATTCGATCAATGCCAACTCTTTTGGAAGAGAATGTTCTCAAGATGGATTTCATTCTTGCAATCGTACCCGCAGTTCGTCAGCCGAAACTCTACGATTTTTGCGGAAGTACATTACATCTGATTTTTGATCTTTCAGTCCCTTACGCCAGTGCTGTTATTGAACCCTTGTTGAACGTTTCTTCCATTGGAAATCAATGTCCTCCTTTACGTGCTCTCAAATCATCGATCTCTAGAGGTTTCACTTGTAGTATTGGAGAAGTGTTAAACATGGATACAAATGATGTACCCCGTTGTTTGCATTGTCCAGCTGGAACATTCGCAGGAGAAAAACAGAAAATGTGCACCTCTTGTCCAAAAGGATACTATCAGAATAGCGATCGTCAGGGAAATTGTTTGCGTTGTCCATTTGGAACATACACCAAGGAAGAAGGATCCAAGAGTATTGATGACTGTATTCCTGTTTGTGGCTATGGAACTTATTCACCAACTGGTCTTGTACCGTGTTTAGAGTGTCCAAGAAACAGTTACAGTGGCGAACCACCAACTGGAGGTTTCAAAGATTGCAAAACTTGTCCAGCTGGAACATTTACTTATCAACCGGCAGCTCCTGGAAAAGATCGCTGTCGAGCAAAATGCTCCCCAGGAATGTATTCAGATACTGGTTTGACACCTTGCGCTCAATGTCCAAAGGACTTTTTCCAACCACAACATGGAGCGACAACTTGCAATGAATGTCCAACTAATATGTACACCGACGGAGCTGGTGCTGTTGGTCGTGAAGAATGTAAACCCGTCACTTGTACTGACAGTGTTTGTCAACATGGAGGTCTTTGTATGCCCGTGGGACATGGAGTTCAATGTATCTGTCCAGCTGGATTCTCGGGTAGACGATGTGAAATCGATATCGACGAATGCGCTTCTCAACCATGTTACAATGGAGCAACTTGCATTGATTTACCTCAAGGCTACAGATGTCAGTGTGCCAATGGCTATTCAGGAAATAATTGTCAAGAAGAAAAGTCCGATTGCACCAATGACACGTGTCCAGAACGAGCCATGTGTAAAGACGAACCAGGATTTAATAATTACACTTGTCTCTGCAGATCCGGATACACTGGAGTCGATTGTGACATAACTGTAAGTATTTTTTAAAAAAGTTGTTAGAAAATTTATGGTTCCAACAGATGGTGAGTAAGTGTTTCTTTAATGCTTTCAGATCAACCCTTGCACTGCTAGCGGAAATCCATGCAACAATGGAGCGACGTGTATTGCTTTACAGCAAGGACGATACAAATGCGATTGTTTGCCAGGTTGGGAGGGTCAAAGTTGTGAGATTAACACCGATGATTGTGCAGAAAAGCCTTGTTTATTGGGTGCCAATTGTACCGATCTGATAGCAGACTTTTCCTGTGACTGTCCTCCAGGATTCAGCGGCAAACGTTGTCACCAAAAAATAGACCTCTGCTCGGGAAATCCTTGTTTAAATGGAATTTGTGTTGATAAGTTATTCAGTCACGAGTGTATATGTCATCCAGGATGGAGTGGATCAGCTTGTGAATCTAACATCAATGAATGTTCAGCGAAACCTTGCAAGAACGGAGGACAGTGTACTGATCAGGTGAACGGTTACAGTTGTACCTGTGAGCCAGGATATACTGGTAAACAGTGTCAACACACTGTCGATGATTGTGCCGTGAAACCTTGTCAAAATGGTGGCAGCTGCATAGATCAACTCGAAGGTTTCGTTTGTAAATGTCGACCTGGATTTGTGGGATTACAATGTGAAGCTGAAATCGATGAATGTTTGAGTGATCCTTGCAATCCCGTTGGTACAGAGAGATGCGTTGATTTGGATAATAAATTTGTCTGTCAGTGTAGAGAAGGATTTACCGGTGCATCCTGTGAGGTGAATATCGACGATTGTGCCGCTGATCCTTGTCTAAATGGAGCAACTTGTAGAGATGAAGTCGGAGGTTTCAAATGTATGTGCACTGAAGGATGGACTGGTGATCGTTGTGAACTCGACGTTGGTACATGTCAAAATCATCCTTGTCAAAATGATGCTGCTTGCGTTGATTTGTTCCAAGATTATTTCTGCGTATGTCCATCGGGAACGGATGGTAAACAATGTGAAACAGCACCTGAACGTTGTATTGGAAATCCTTGTATGCACAATGGTCGTTGTCAAGACTTTGGATCTGGCTTAAATTGCACATGTCCGGATGATTTCACTGGTATTGGTTGTCAATATGAATATGACGCTTGTCAAGCTGGTGCCTGTAAAAATGGAGCCTCTTGCATTGACAATGGAATTGGATTCACTTGCATCTGTCCACCTGGATTCACTGGCAAAACATGCGAGGAAGATATCATTGACTGTAAGGAAAATTCTTGTCCACCATCAGCTACCTGCGTTGATCTCACTGGAAAATTCTTCTGTCAATGTCCATTTAATTTAACCGGTGACGATTGTAGAAAATCGATTCAAGTTGATTATGACATGTACTTTAGTGATCCAACCCGCAGTAGTGCTGCTCAAGTGATTCCCTTCTTCACAGGAGGTAAAAAGAGTTTGACAATTGCTCTTTGGGTTCAATTTACACAGAAAGATGAAGCTGGAATATTCTTCACGCTATACAGTGTCAATTCACCGCACGTTCCAATGAATCGTAGGCCAATGATTCAAGCACACAGCAATGGAGTGCAAATTTCTATTTTCCCTGATCTTCAAGATGTCTATTTACCATTTAGGGAATATGCGACAATGAACGATGGACAATGGCATCATGTGGCTGTTGTTTGGAATGGTGAAAACGGTGGAGAACTTACTCTTATTACAGAGGGATTGATCGCAAGCAAAACTGAGGGATACGGCAGTGGAAGAAATCTACCATCCTACGCTTGGGCAGTTCTTGGTAAACCTCAAAGTGAGAACGTAAAAGGTTACACTGAATCCGGCTTCCAGGGACATTTGACAAAAGTACAAGTTTGGAGTCGAGCTCTACATGTGACAAACGAAATTCAAAAACAGGTTCGCGATTGTCGTACAGAGCCAGTACTTTACCAAGATCTAATTCTCACCTGGGCTGGTTATGATGAAACAACTGGTGGTGTTGAGAGAGTGGTTCCTTCACATTGCGGCCATAGAGTCTGTCCACCTGGCTATGGCGGTAACAAATGTCAACAATTAGAGGCTGACAAAATTCCACCAAAGGTTGAACATTGTCCAGGGGATCTTTGGGTGATTGCGAAAAATGGTTCATCAATTGTCAACTGGGATGAGCCACAATTCTCCGATAATGTTGGAGTCGTGAGAATGATAGAAAAGAGTGGCCATCGATCAGGACAAACTTTACTCTGGGGTACTTATGACATTAGCTATGTCGCTTATGATCAAGCAGGAAATTCCGCTAGTTGCAGTTTTAAAGTTTACGTCTTGTGTAAGTAATTGACTTTTCTCTTCTTTTAATTTTTTGCGAAATGGTCAGTTTTTAATCAATTATTATCGATTTTAGCCGATTTCTGTCCGGAATTAGAAGATCCAATTGGTGGATCTCAACAGTGTAAGGATTGGGGTTCTGGTGGTCAATTTAAGGTATGCGAAATATCTTGCAACTCTGGACTCAGATTTTCGCAGGAGATTCCCAAATTCTACACATGTGGAGCTGAAGGTTTTTGGCGACCTACTATCAATCCTGGATTACCACTCGTCTATCCTGCTTGCACAAGTAAAAAACGATTTTCCAAATTATTCGAACAAAAAAATTGACAAAACGTTTGAAAACTATTCTTCATTTACAGATTCAATCCCGGCTCAACGTGTTTTCAAAATCAAAATGAACTTCCCCACTTCTGTGCTTTGCAATGAAGCGGGTCAAGGAGTTCTCAAGCAGAAGGTTCGAAATGCCGTCAACTCTCTAAATAGGGACTGGAACTTCTGTTCTTTCTCATTCGAAGGTAAAGTGATTCTTTTCAATTCAAAAAATGGAAAAAAATTTCTTTTCATTTGATAACTTTTGACATTGATTGTGATTTAGGTACAAGGGAATGTAAGGATTTGAACATTGATGTTCAATGTGATCATCGATCTCGTGCAACTAGAGAAACACATGAAGAAGATGCAGGAACGTACACAGTATCAGCTGCTGTACCAGTTGAAGCGTAAGTAATTTTTTAAAAAAAATTTTTTACTAGAGAAAAGTAGCTTTTTTAATTACTATAAAACTTGAAATTTACTTTAATTGTTACCTCGTAGAACAAGAAGATCGCGTCAAGGCAGTGATACCTACGAGGTGCAGATCTCATTCCCAGCGATAAAGTAAGAATTTGTCGCGAGATTGATTCATATGTCATAACGAAGTCACTCGATCATTGCTAATAAATACACTTAACTGGAAATTTAATGCATTAAATCAAGCGAATAAACATTGCACGTATTACTAACTAAATAACATAAAGATTTTGTACAAAAATTTAGTTAACTAAATGAATAGTTAACTAATGATAAATTATTTCGATTAGGAACACAAAAAACAGAGTAACAACATTACAGACATCACGCTTCACAGTCTGGTGAACATTTGGAATCAATAGTTTGGAGATTGGGTCATCTAATTTAATTATTTTATCAAATGCAGATAACGGCTGTATATAATGGCGCTATGAGCATCAAGCAATATATCTTTAGCCAAAGACTAATGATATAATTTTCGTTTTTCAGTGATCCGATTCTAAACACCAATTCGAATGATCGAGCATCTGTACATACATTACTCCAGAAACTTATTTTGGAGGAAGATCAATTTGATGTTCATGATATTTTGCCAAATACCATTCCTGATCCGGCGTCATTGATTCTTGAATCAGATTACGCGTGTCCGGTTGGTCAAGTTGTTATGGCACCTGAATGCGGTAAGTTTCCAAATTGGGAACCTTTTTTTTATTTTGTCTTCTGCTTCAATAACAAAAATTTTTTCTTTCAGTTCCATGTGCCGTTGGTACTTTCTACAACGAAGCAACGAATAAATGTGACTTCTGTCCAGTTGGAACCTATCAAAGTGAATCGGGACAATTGAAATGCAGTTCATGTCCAGTGATAGCGGGACGTCCTAGTGTCACCATTGGACCTGGTGCAAGAAGTGCTGCCGATTGTAAGGAACGTTGTCCAGCTGGAAAGTACTATGACGATGAAGCGGGACTTTGCCGAAGTTGTGGACATGGATTCTATCAGCCAAATGAAGGAAGTTTCTCATGTTCTTTGTGTGGTTTGGGTAAAACAACGAGAACCGCTGAAGCAGTTTCTCATGAGGAATGTCGCGATGAATGTGGATCAGGACAACAACTTGCTGTTGAAGGAAAATGTGAACCTTGTCCTCGTGGCACCTATCGAATGCAAGGAGTTCAAGCTTCGTGTCAGGCGTGTCCATTGGGTAGAACAACACCAAATATTGGATCAGCCGCTATTGAGGAATGTTCACTTCCTGTTTGTGAGCCTGGAACTCATTTGAATGGTACTCTCAACGAATGTGTCGAATGTAAAAAGGGAACCTATCAATCCGAATCGCAACAGACTTTCTGCATTCCTTGTCCACCTAATACCAGCACTAAAGGATCAGCTGCGGTAAGAGATTTTGATTTTTTGTTACCTGATGTTAATTAAATGTTTTTTAAACCAAGCACAACAAATAGAAGTAGACTTTTTTCTAATGAAACCTTAATTTTTTTACAGACCAGCAAAGATGACTGCACAAATCCATGTGAGACAAGTGGTGAGGAATTCCACTGTGACGCCAATGCTTATTGTTTGCTGATCTCCGAAACAAGTGATTTCAAATGTGAATGTAAACCAGGATACAATGGAACTGGACACGAGTGTACTGATGTGTGCTTAGGCTATTGCGACAATGAAGGAGTTTGCTTCAAGGATTCCAGAGGACAACCATCTTGCAGATGTAGCGGTAGCTTCACCGGCAAACAATGTACCGAAAAATCTGACTTCTTCTACATCACCGGAGGAATTGCATCGGGAGTAATTCTTGTCATCTTCATTGCTCTTCTCGTATGGATGATTTGTGTCAGGTTTGTGGTCACTAGCAAAATGATTCTTCTTCACCTCTTAATAAAAAAAAATCTCACTATCGTTATTTTATTTCAGGGCTTCAAAGAAGAAAGAACCAAAGAAGATGCTAACACCAGCAGCAGATCAAAATGGTTCACAAGTCAACTTTTATTATGGAGCACCAACGCCTTACGCTGAATCAATTGCTCCATCTCATCACAGTACTTACGCTCATTATTATGATGATGAGGAAGATGGATGGGAGATGCCAAATTTCTACAATGAGACATACATGAAAGGTACTATAGTTTCGCCACAATTAAGTTATAGCAATAACATTTTATTTATATATTTTTTATTTTATTTATATTTTGGGCATTTTTTCAGAGAGTCTGCATAATGGAGGTAAAATGAATAGTTTAGCGCGATCAAATGCTAGTATTTATGGAACAAAAGAAGATCTCTATGACCGACTAAAGCGACATGCTTATCCTGGCAAAAAAGGTTTGTTTTTTAATTTATTCTCAATTATTTTAGCTTTCCTAATTGTTATGCTGTTATAAAAAATATTATAAATAATTAAATTTCTAAAATTGTTCTTTTTTAAAGAAAAAAATACATTTGGGGGTGGTTTTTGAGGTTTAAGATGAAAAAACTTGGCAAACAAGAATAATCATTAAAATGGAAATTATAATTATGTTACAGATAAAAGTGACAGCGACAGTGAAGGACAGTGATGTCGAAGAGTCAATAAGAAATGAGAAATAAATATAAATTCCTCCCCCCCCTCCCACTCATCCAATGGGACGTCGAACATTAACTATTATTGTGTTCTTTACCAAGAAATTGTTATTTATATTTTGATATTAAGCAAAATAATAATTGAAATACGCTGTAAAAAAAAGAAAAAGATTCACGTTGATAAGTGTTAACTGCTGATTGTATAACATTTTTTTTTTTTTTTTGCAAATTCAGAAAATTTAGAAAATTTCTTTTAAATAAGAAATGCATTTATTTTTTGCTAAGTGAAAATTTTGCGCTTTTAAAAATAAAAAGTTAATATTATTATAATTTAGAATCCGTTATAGTTGTTTTTACAAATTCAAACCACCGCTGTTACCAGTAGCGAACTATATATACATATATAAATATATATAGATAGACGGTCAAATTAGAAATTGATTAACTATGTTTTTTTTAATTTTTCAGCGCGCTACTTAACAATACAAATATATATATATATAATACATATAATAGATATCATCCAGAATATTATAATTGTAGACAATCGTTTGTAATTACAATTAATTGACAATTGTGATTGTAATTATAGTTTTCATTAGAATTGTAAATTTTAATCATAATTGTATGATCGGGTACAATAACCATCTTTACACTTGAACACCGTGGGAATAGTGACGCCTATATGAAATTCCTCGCTCATTTGATTGGCTGTCATTTCATGATCTTGAAACAGTAGCCGATTAAATGAAAGAGAGACTTCTCTGGGTGGATCTCTACTCATTCTACTCTCAGCGTAAAAGAAATTAATTATTCAATTTCATATAATTGTTATTATAATTATATTACTTACCATGGCAGTTATTGTATCCGAACTCTCAAATGTGACTAATTTTTATAGAAACAAATTATTTTACAATTATATAGTTGTCTTTTGTTTATATTCGTGTTAAATATGTTTATAAATGTAACAATTGTAATTTACTTAAACAATTATTAAAGTTTATTAATTATAATCACAATAATGAAATTATTTGTAATTATCGAACAGCGGTAAAAATATATCGTGTGAATCTTAATAATAATAATAATAATAATTAAAAGGGACTGAATTGCGTATGTGTGTGTACATTTGTGAGATTGTGACAAAGAATGAATTTTTTTGTAACTTTTGTATTTAATATAGCTGAATATCTCCGTTCTTATATATTTTTATTCAAATCATTTGGAATCCAATGTTATTTTAATTTGACAAAAAACTTAATATGTCTAACGGTGCGAACGTGTGAATATATATGTAATATTAATTAACTAAGCGAATTTTAAACTTGTTATTATAAATATATATATATAAATATATCTGTTTTTGTACAATATATAATTGACGTAGTGTAAAGCCCGCGTGTATATGCGTGAGTTTTACTATAAAAGACGAATGTTCGGGAGAATACGAGTAGGATTTCCCAGTGTGTTGTTTTTCGTGACTGATGAGTGTCACTATTTTTCTAATTATATACATTATATATAGTCTTCCATGTATAAAAAAAATTAATTAAATATTAATTATGAATCCAGATGCAATAAGTGTCTTTTTGAAGTAACGCCCACGTGTGTCTCGCCTTCCTTCTCATTGGTCATTCAAAAACTAGGAGAGGGAATTCGATACTTCGAGCTCGAACTTAAAAGACATCTATTTCATTTGGACTCTTAGTTATTAAAAGAAAGGGGAAAAATTAAATTCAATGGCAGATTTCTCGATGAAATAGTCTGCAATTATTAAAAAAAAAATGTTTTTTAATTCTAAATTTTAAATAGAAACAATCTATATGCAAATATATGATCATTTTACATTTGTCTTTTTCTCTAAATTTCCGCGCGTGAAAAAAATATATAAAAAGAATTTTTTAATTTCACTGCCAAAGATTTAAATTCGTGTAGTTTTCAGGAGAGAGTGAGAGAGAAAGAGAGAGAGAGAGTGTTTCGCTTTGATATTATATAGTATATATAAAATAAATTGAAGGCAAAGTCACTGAGATTTTCAGGCTACTCTTGTAGATAAACTATTTTTTATTATTAATATTATTATAATTATTATTAAATCATTTCTAATAAATATTAATTTTTATACATTTATTAATATGCGATATTGTAAGAAACTATTTTTTTTGTATCGTGCTCAATGTTTCATTAAATATCAAGTCGACAAAATATGAAGCCTACTGCGTTACATATATAAATATATATATATATATCGATATATGTTATATGATAATATGAAATTTGTATAAACGCTTTATTGTTTATTTAAATAAAGCTTTTCAACTCTAAGTTGAAAATTATAAAAAAGATGTTTAGTCTAAAAATTTCTTTCAATTCCTTTATTCTAAAATGAAATCTTCACTATATTGTTAGTCTTTTTTTAATAATGTTATATACATATATTCCTGCATTTTGTTTGTTATTTTTAATTAATTTATTTTTGTTTTATTTTATAGTGTAGAAAATGGCGGCTCCAAATATGATGAACGATATGTTTAAAATCAATTTGCTTGAAATTTGTTACTTAGGAGTTTTTTCAGAGTCACTGATTAGGGAGCGTTCATAAACTACGTAGACCTATTTTTGTGACTTTTTGACACCCCCCTCCCCCCACGTAGACTAACGTAGACTTTTGATGAACCCTCCCCTCCCCCCGTGTTTCACGTAGTTTTTTTTAATATGCATTTTTACTACATATTTAATTATGAAAATTCCTTATAAGAAAATAATGTTAAAGCTGAAATGTTTTCAGTATAATGTTTTTTGTATAATATTTTCGCGATTATAGGTAATTTATTATAAAATTTTTTTTCTCAAATAATTCTAAAAATATAATTATTAGAGACTCTGTAATAAAATCATTACAATACAGGATAAATTTATCCTGTTTTTGTCCTCGTATGTCAAGTACGAGGAAAATAAAAATAATGAGTTAAAAAATCTATTAATTTTATATATAAACCAATTTTACGCAATTTTTGATTATAGTTATCAGTAAAATACAAAATTAATTAATTTCTGTAATTAAATTTTTATAATTTTAATTTTATAATATTTTAATTTTTGCACGTGAAAAATTTTATTTTCTATAATTACATTTTCATAATTATAAAATTGTAATGATTTCATTACAGAGTCTCTAATAATTATATTTTTATAATTATTTGAGAAAAAAAATTTTATAATGAATTTCTTATAATAAATTACTTATATTCGCGAAAATATTATACAAAAAACATTATACTGAAAACATTTCAGCTTTAACATTATTTTCTTATAAGGAATTTTCATAAGAGATGTAATTGATTAAATTTTAATTAAAAAATTTTGATTTTTTAAAATAAATAAAATTACACTTTTTAATAAATAAGGTAGGTACTTATTATAATTATTGCTGTAGTAATTAGAATAAATTCACAGTGATTCACTACACTTTAAACATTTTGGAAAAACCTTCTCAAAATAATTACATTTTTATACAAATATAAAAAAGAATTTAGATTGACAAAAATAAAGAGATCTCTTTTTTTTATTAGAAGTTCGAACTCCCGCGCAATTTTAAAAAAGCAAAGAAATTAATTTTAGTATATATTACGTAGTTAGAGTCGACACCCCCCCTCCCCCCACGTAGACTAAGGTAGAATTTCGCTTAACCCCCCCCCTCCCCCTAAACATGCTACGTAGTTTATGAACGCCCCCTTACGAATCCGATGTTATTTTGCCCAAATTCAAAATGTCGTACGAATTTTAAAAAAGTGAATTTATTCGCTTGAAACTTGTTGCTCGGGTATTTTTGAGGTCCCTGATTACGAATTAGCACTTTTTAATATTACAAACTATCATCGTGTAACCTTTGAGGTTTTTTGTTTTTATTTTATACGCAAATAATTTTCTTTTCTTTTTTTAAATTATTATATTTTTTATAGACTTGTTTCAGAGACACTTTTTCAAATTAATGAAATTTTTTTTTATAATGTATATGTGAATCGTTTCTCCGTTATTTAGCTCAACGAATCGTAAAAATGTGTAACGCATAATATTTTCGAATGTTTTCCTCATATCGCGATTTGTCTGAAGGTCTCTCTAAATACAGAGATTGTTTTTGCCGACAAAGGGACTATATTTCTCGTCTAGACTATGAGCTGATTCACAGCGTAGGGTTATTTTTATATTACTCATGTAAGTAATCCAATTTTTTTTCTTACCTGGATAATTACGTATAAAAAATCATTTTTATTTTACTCAAGCATGTATTGTGAGAGTTATGTGAGAAACATAAAAGTATTTATATGCCTATATGAGTTATGAAATTATGATATTTTATGAGCTACCCTCGCAACGAAAGGATATCCTCAGGATATCTTGACATGACTTAGAATATCCAAATCGCCTCAATAAAGGATATTTTTCAGATATCCCTACGGCATACTACAAATATCCCCAGAACATCATATGGATATCCTCAAGACATCCTAGGGATATCCTTAGGATGTCCAGAAATATCCTCAGGACTTTAGTATATCCTTAAAATATATTGTGAATATCCTCTGCCGCACTCTAGTATATCCTTAAAATATCTTGTGAATATCCTCAGGATATCCGGTGCTGTAAGGTTACTAATGATAAATTTATGATTTTTTATGAGTATCTATAAAAATTTGTAGTAATTTTTTCTAAAAAAATGTTTATTTGTGGCTTCTACCATAGTGTAAACCAGCTCTATTTAATCATACATGTATGTATTATATCGATCGTTGTCCATGTGTGTGAGTGTGTGACGAGTTTCTTGGAATTCCCTCCACAAAACTCAATTCCCTCCTCGCGAAGAATGCTGATTGGTTAACAATGTGCACAGAGATGCAGCGATTGGTTAAAATTGACGTCAATTCTGCTGTGAAGCGCTGTATACATCTCTGCGTTGCAATATTACCAGCTCGTGACGTGATAAAGTAGCACAAGTTCAGCGGAATTCGTCGTGTACACGTTGTGACTATAGACTTGAGAAACTTTTTTTTACTTTCCTCAAAACACTACGAATTACCGACACCGCTAATTTATTAAAAAAATTTAAACAAAATAGAAAAAAGTGAATAAATAAAACTTGTTCTGCATTTTTCTATATATATATATATATATTGTGAAAAGTAATTTCAACTGCCAAGGTGAAATCGGAAATACGCAAATTTCATCATCAAGTGGAAGGCACACCAGAAAAATCTATCAAATTCGGGAGGGTGAGTCTCATTCGCAATTCTTTGTCTCTAACGCGTGAGTTTCTTATATAACCGGTATAACAAACGTCATCAAATTTTTTATTATTATCTTATTTTTTCTTTTTGATAATTTGCAAATTTTCAAAATTTACTTGTTTGCCCTGATTATGATTATTGAAAAATATTCTTTTTTTTAAAAAAAATATCTTATCAAATGTAAGACGCATCAAGTGTGACGGATCGATTTTTTTTTGCGATTTTAATTCTTATTTCTTGCTGGATTTTTTATTTAATTTTTTTCAAATGGAATGGGAGGGGGTTGGGACTATCCTTGAAGTAAATTTTTTCATTGTGAGAATGAGAAATGTGGACGAAATATAATAACGAAATGCGCGTTATATAACACAACCTTTGATGTTTGCGACGACGTTTCACTGGCGTTTGATAGTGATAAAAAAGTTTACAGTGATAATTGAGGAAAAAATTTACAATGACTCTCAAAAAATGTCATCCCACTGAAAGAATAAAAACATTACTTGATAAGTTGATACTTTTCTAAAACAGAATTTTCTAACATGTAATAATTTTTTTTCGAAAAAAAAAATTTGCATTTTTACTTTTTTATTACTACAAAGTTTATATTTTGACTACAACATGAAACCCATTTTTTTACTAAAACATAAAACGTTTTTACTGTAAATTTAAATTTAAATTTATTTATTTTTTTTTAAATTATATTTTTCTAAATTTATTCTTTATTTCTTTTTCTATACAAATATGAGACATCTTTATATATAATTACTAACGCAATTGTCACTCATTAATTGTTATTTTTGAAGTTGAGACAATAACAACTATTTCTGACTTTTTATCAATACTGTAGTATTATCGCTAAAAGTCAAAGATAATAAAAATGTGCAAAAAATATTTTTTTTTGCAAATGTATAATTTATAAAAAAAATTTTTTTTTATATTTCATTTAAAAAATATCCTGAAAATTATAAACATAAGAATAAAAAATATGATTACATGGTTTTAATATAAATTAATAATAAAATGTTTTCTATAAATGTTGATCGACTTTAAAATTTTTGCACCATGAGTCATTAAATTGACTCAATGCTTAACGGTGTCGCCTCTTTCCTGAAAAAATTTCATGTTCATACATTCATAGTAAGAAAAAAAGAAGATAAATTGAACAAAATGTTTTAAACAAAAATAAATTTATCATACAAAAATTTATAAAGAAAAAAAGGTAATAAAAATCTACACTAATATAAATAAAAAGACAGAATGTAAAAAAAATGAAAAAAATTGTTTTTTAAATAAATAATTTATTTTTTTATTTTTTTATTAGACAATGGATTATAAATGACTCCTGAGGATTAATTAATATCGCGATAATTAAATATATATATATATGTACATTGGAAAAATATTCCGCGAGAATGACTAAGCAATAATCGAGCATTGGTCAACGTTCTCTGTTAGCAATGACGACTCTTTATTAAATCGCACATCATTTACAATTTGGCATACTAAAAAGATCTTTTATCTATACATATTATACTGTTTTTTTGAATTCATGCCAAAATAACTACTTTCAAACAAGTGATAAAATTTCCTTTAGTTATAAAATTACTAAAAATCTTCATCACATAAAAAGTTTCCATCTTTACAGAATTTATTTATATTTTACCAAATCACCATATCTTATTTCAATTCTTCAAATTAAAATTTCGGAATTATTAGTTTTTTTAAATTAAAATTGTTTTAAATAAAAAAAAATATATATAAATTTAAAATAAAGTTTTTTTCTGAATAATAATGGAAAATGTGAAAAATATTTACTTATCGGTAATAAATTAATGCACTTGTGTATATCGTCTGAATTTATCAATTTGATTATTATTGGGTTACAATTTTATCCTACAATTAAATTTTGTTCACTTTATCAAAAAAAAAAAAAAAATTGTTTTCGAAAAAAAAAAATCCTCTTATTAGAGACAGAAAAGAAAAATTGTCAAATGAAATTTAAAAACATACTCAATGAAATTGTTGTTACATAAAGGATAACAAAAATTGAACAATCACATAACAGATAATAATTGTGAACGTCACAAAAAAGTTTTCCATTGTTATGTGAAAATTTTAATTTATTGAAGAATAAATTTTTTTCTCTTCTTATTTGAACATTGGAATTTAAACCATTTTTTATACATTTTTCTAAAAATAATAATTGTATGCAAATTAAAAATTAATAAGTATTTTTAAAAATTTGAATTTTCTTTTTCAAATTGACGAGAATTATATGTAATTTTGTTTATATAAATAGAAGCACTATACATAGTACAGTAAAATTTAGCTTATCTTTATATGTAATCGAAAATTAAATTCACATTTTAATGATGACTCCCGAAATCCAAATTATTGCAAAATATTCTGAGAACTTGAGATAAAATCAGTCTGTTTTTGAGCGGCTGGTAATTATATATCAAATTTTCCGTAAAATTTTCAAAAGAATCTTTAGATTTCATCACTTTACTTGCTTTTAATGTTATATTTTAATGAATTGATAAAATCATAACAAAATTTTAAAATACGTAATTGTTTGTCATATGAGTAACAAGCAAAAAAAGAGAAATATAGTAGTTTTATAAAGTGTCTTGCACAATCATTTCAAATCTAGATAAAATAACATTTTCTAATTATAGTCATGATAATAAAGGAAAATATATAAAAATTTTCGACGTTTGGTCAAATTTTATTGTGAAAAAATTTTAATTATTACAAATTATTTGAATAATTATTTAAATATTAATTATAAATATTTTACTATTTACAGTAAGTATACCTAAGAAAATTCTGTATTAAAATTAATTAAAAAAATTTTTTTTTATATTGGACTCTATCTAGCCTGAATTTTAAGGTTATGTTCGCCTCAAGAACCTACATGACCTTGAATATATGAACCGGGAAAATTGAAGCAAAGTATCATCGCAACCTAAGTGTTCCATTGATCTCAAGAATAATAAAAAATGTTGCCAGGTTTTCGAATAATTAAAAAAAAGTAGTGCGAGCGTGCATGGAAAAAAATCGACAATCGATAGCTCGTAGTTAAAGTCTCGCAGGCGCAGGGCCACGAAGTAGTCGCAGGGCTCCTTCGTTTAAGCGCCAGGGCCGAAACAAAAAGTTAAAAAAAGGCGCTGACCCAAGCACAATTTTTTTGTTTTTTTTTTTTTAATGAAAATTAAACATTTGTATAACACGAAAAATATAAATATGTAATGAATTAATTTTATATTTAATTAACAAATGATATAAAAATAATAATAAATAATTTTTTTCAATGATTTATAATAAAAATTAAATTTTTTCAGGCCTCCAAAATCCCTCCCATTTACGAGCGTTCAACGGCTAGCAACATTTCCATAGAGAAAGGGGGCGACTTGATCGTAAGTAATAAAAAAGAACAAAAAATTAGGAAATGTTTATGAATAAATGATGACAATGCAATAATAGGAATGTGAATTACAAAAAAAAACCACTATATGATATAATAATTTTACTGAAAGAAAAATTTTACCCCAAAAATAGAAAGAATTTCATCAATATTATTATTGAGGTGTTTAAAATGAACGGGTGGGTATTTGATATATTTAATTATTATTATTATTAATATAGTTTTTTTTCAATTAATTATTTTAATTAAATTATTTAAAATTATTTAAGAATATAATTACAAACTATATGTAAAATTAAATAACTTGAAAAACGGTAAGTATAGTAAACAAGTTTTTTACACCATCAATAATGTAAAATTGAAAATTAAAAAAAATTTGTTTTTTAAAACAAATTTCTATTTTTGTAATTTTACATTCTGAAATTGGACAAATAAGAAGTAATATTTATATGCGCATCATTTTTTTCTAATTATTTGTACAAAAATAAAAAGTAAAAAAACTATCCCTAATTTTATTTTTCTCTTCTTTTTTTGTTAAGCTATTATCACAATGCAACCGTCAGTCACATCTGTCATCTGTTTCTCATGGCGTGAGATCGAGGCCTCCAGAGGAAGCAACAATACATGCTTCCTCGAAGACGGAAATGATTCCTCTTCTGAGTCCGACGATGGAATCGGAAATATTAAAAGAATCCTGGACAATACCAAATATAAAAAGCAACAATTTTCAAAATACCGACGAGGAGAACACGGAGAATTATTCCATTTGGGAGGAGAACTTTCAAGATCTGAGCGGTTGGTGCATGGACCAATTTCCACAACAATACGATTTTCCTATAGGTGAAGCGATCAATTGCAAACTAACCGGTAATTATTATTATTAATACTTTTTTCATATATTAATAAAAAAAAGAAATAGTTATTAATTGTTGAAAAAAATTTTATTTCATTTTTAGATATGAGCTATGAGAATGATAATGTCTCAACAGTGGAAAGTGTACCCGAAGAATTTACAATTGTTTACGACGAGAAGAGAACTAATGTCGAAGATATTTTGCATATTGCTGATCTTTCAAATTTACCATCTTCAGTGGTGAAATTTGAAAAAATTGATCCTAACAACTATACAATGGCCAATGAAACGGATGCTTGGCAAAATTTAACCACTGGCAAAATTATCGATACAACATTCATCAATATTGATAATGATACTTCACATTCATCAACTAGACCTAAAGTTACAAACAATTTGAAAGTTCAATTACCAATTCAACAAGTGACACAGGGGAAAATTATTGATCCCTTGGAATCAACTGTACTTTCAACATACACTACTTATGAACCAGAATCTTTTGATCTACTCTCCTATCTCTGTGAAGTATGTATTTATTTTTTTTCGCCAACTTTTCCAGTTTTGAAATGCTGAGACTATTTCGAGGGCAGATTTGTATTTTGTATTATTTTTAGGACGAAGTCGCTTTACCTGCTGCATGTAGTACAGCTTCAGCTTCATCACAAAAAGTTGTCAAGACAAACGCAAGAAACGAAGAGAAGCAATCACCTAAAATTAAAAATAAGGAGAGAACATTGAGAAGAAGACGAGAATCAGTCAATCAAAAAGTTGAAGTTCATGAAACTAGAATTCCTTCTTCTTCTTCTTCCTATTTACCTTCTCCATCATCATCATCATCATCATCATCTTCCTATATGGAGAAATTATCATCGCGTAAAAAAACAAAAACAGTCAAAACATTGAAAAAATGTTCAAAAAATGATGGTGATTTGTATCGTAAAAAACGAAGGGGTCCTAAACGAAAATTGGAAACTGACTCGGAAAATGACGATGATAATTGTGATAATGATGATGATGTGTTTTCCGATAATAGTTATCGTGAATCACGTGAAAAAAATAATGAGGCCTCAAGAAAGTCACGTATGAATAAAAAGGCAAAAGAAGAGGAAATGTCACGAAGATCAACACAACTCGAGAAAGACAACAAAGTGTTAAAAATGAAAGTTGAGGAACTTGAAAAATTAGTGACATCAATGCGCATGGCATTATTACAATCAGCATTAAAACGTGAGCGATAAATATAATATATCATATATATCGAAAAACGAATTTTTCCCACAAAAAAAAATTCGTTGAAAAAATAATTATTTTTTCTTTTTGGAAAAGAATTATTGTTATTTAAGGAAAACAGTTTTTTTTAAGAAAAAATCTTTTTTAGAAAGAAATTTATAATAATTTATAATAATTATAAATTATTTTTCATAGGTATAGAAAATTTGTTTTCTAAATTTTACATTTGGAAAAAATGTTTTTTTTTATAAAAAAAAATTGTTCTCTTTTTTTCTTTAGAGGAAAAAATTTATATTTTTAGAAATATATTATTTTTCAGTCAGTAAAACTTATTTTTACTTACGAAATAATTCTTAACAAAAAAATAATTATTTCAAAAGAAGAATTTTTTTAAAGGAATATATATATATATTTGCGAGGAAAGAGAAATTTGTTTTTTGAAAATTGTGTTAAAATTTCGAGAGATTTATATTTTTTCTTGCAAATTACACATGCATATATGGGTCATTGAGAGTGGAGAAAAATTCTTTAGAATTAGTTATGCTTGAAAAGCACTATTAAAATTTACTACTAATGTATTGTAAAATTTTGCATGATAGTTTATTTTGTTATTTAGATATACATTTCTATCTGGCAGGACACACTTCATATGTTTACTGAATATACAAAAAATTAAAAAAAAATTATTAATAATAATATTATTAACATTATAAAAGAAACAAAATGATATATTTTCGATTTTCAATAATATTTTAAAATATATTTTCTAAAAAATGAATAATTATTGAAAATTAAGTATTTCTTATAAAAAAAAAATTAGTAATTTTCAAAAAAAAAGAATATTTTCAAAATAAAATATTTTTTGAATAAAGAAAATTTGTAAACAAATAGAAAGTGTGTCTTCGTATTCTGAATATATATTTTTACCCAACAGAATAACAAATGCCAGTGTGTGAAAATTAGATTTTTATATATGAAGTATTTTTCATCCTATCAGTTGAGTTTGAACGTTACTTGCAAATTTCTTAACAATCTTATTACTCAATTTTAATTTCAAAGAAGAAAATTAACATACATAAATTTAACATTTATTTTGTCTAATAGAAAAAAAATCAAAATTTTATTATACAAAAGTTTTGTAAATTCAACTACCCACATATTAAAAGTTTTATTCTAAAGAACTGAAAAAAAATTGAAGAATATGATTTTTTTATGATCGTTAAATTTTATTATACTTTTTACTGTAAGTAAGGAAGGAAGAAAGTATTCAAGTGACGTTTAGACTGAAAATATTTTCACTTGAAAAAAGCACTGATAGTAATTATAAAAAAAATTCGTACTTAATATGTTTAAAAATGTACGTAATTTTTTTCTCGTAGTTCCAAAAAAAGGTTGAGGACAAATATTAAGATTATCTTGCGGTGGACCTTTTTTTAAAATATAGTTATCATTCTAGATTGAAAATCGGTTTTGGTCATTATATATTTTATTTAAAAAACATGACCAATCACCGTCTTAAGAATTCAGGAATAAACTACAAAAGTTTTTTTCCACAAGAATGAGAATTTTTTATGCTTTTACTTAGATATAGCTGACATATTTTTATACGAATCGCCTATTGTTTAGTGGTGGAATTGAAATAACTATTTTTAATGGACATTTGTTTATATTTGCTTCTAAAATTTAAACTGATCGACAATTATTGTAAATTGTGAAATATATTTTCTTATAGTCACAATATTTTAAAGCTTAATAATATCTCTTTCAAAAATGTATAAAAACATGTGTATTTTGTGAAATAAATTTATTTCAAAACAGAACAAAATTTTTTTTATTCAATTATTGTTTAATAATTTGCCAAATTTACAAAAACTATTTCGATAGTCAATAAATCCTTCATATTCTGATTCATTTAATTCACATACAGAAGGTATAAATAACAAATGAACTTTTATTTATTTATGGTAGACTCACACCTATTAGTGTTTACAAATGAAGATATTTTTTTAGCATGATTATGCGTAATTTTTTGATAAGTAGATATAGAAAAGGTTTTAGAAAAACAGTATTAGATATTAAAAAAAATATGTTTATAATTTGTCAATATGAAACTTTTATTTTTTTATACTTGTACAAATAATTGATAACAATTAATCAAGTCCTTCATATTCTGATTCATTTAATTCACATACAGGAGGAGGATTTGACCATTTTCCATCCCTGCAGAATGACCATCTAAATCCAATTAATTCATAATCATCATTTTTGCATCTATATTCTAATTCTACGTCAGAATTATCAGTACTTTTGGGAAAAACATGTCCATGTTCAAGTGTGTAATGCAAAGGACGTGGTCTACTAAGTAAATATAAGCAATCATTGTCTGAAAAAAATTGAATACTTGTCTGAAGTAAGTTATATATTTTCATTCTAAAAGAATGTAACAAAATTAAAAATTTTCAAATTTAAATTAGTGTAAAATTTTTATAAAAAATTAAAGAGTAAAATAAGCAAATAGTCAAAATTGACAAAATTTCTTACGAATACAACGAATCTGAGGTTTATTCATCCATATTCCATTACTGCAGTAAATAATTAAATCTGCAGATTTCGAATAATTTGAGTTGCACTTTACTGTTGCACGATCGCCCATTTCATTTATTGTAACTTGTCCATTTTCAATCTCGAATGGCGTACACTTTAAATCTGAAAATAAGTATAAATAAATATATTTAATATAGACACAAACACATACATATATCAATTCTATTAAATTTCATTTTCTATTCTACCTTTAAATTTGCATACAGGAGGAGTATTTGACCATCTTCCATCAATGCAAGTTGACCACCTAAATCCTTCTAATTCATAATCATCATTTCTACAACTATACTCTAATTTTATGTCAGAAGAAAATGTACGAGTTGAAGAAACAATTCCATTTTCAAGAGTATAATGCAAAGGGCTATTTAAACAATCATTATCTGAAATAATAGATACATTTATCTTAAATTAAATTATAGAAAATATTTCATCTGATATTAAAGAAAATAGAATTTCTAAATTGAAATTAACTTTTTGACAAAAAATATTACAAAATTAATACTGGAAAGAAACCAATATAATGTAATTTATTATAAATTGTAATTAGATGTAAAATTAGTTTATACATATATTTATTGACTTCATTTTTGCTAATTTAGAAGCAAAAATTTTAATTTAATTTCTTGATAAATACTTTGCAAAAATTCTTACGTTTACAATAAAAATTAATTTTATTCTTCCACATTCCATCACTACAGTAAATATTTGAATCCCCAGTTTTTGAATAATTTGAATTGCAGTTTACTGTCACACGATCACCCCTTTCATTTATTGTAACTTGTCCATTTTTTTGTTTGTATGGATAACACTTTAAATCTGAAAATTAAAAATAATAAAGTAAAATATAATTATTTAAAAACTATTTTTTCAAAAGTTTTAAAAAAGGCATTAATAAATCAATACCTGTTGATTTGTTTTCTATAAAAGATGCATTTTCTGTTACATTTGATTTACATACAGGAGGAGGATTTGACCATTTTCCATCAATGCAGCGTGACATCCATGGTCCATTTAATTCATAATTATTACGGCATGTATATTTTAAATCTACTTTCGAAGTAATTCTATGAGTAGATGAAACATAACCATTTCTAAGAGTATAATGCAAAGGACTATTTAAGCAGTCATTATCTGAAAAACGATATATAAATAAAACTTTATTGAATTACAATAATTTAGATCATAGAAAAAAATTGGTAAAAATTCTTACGAATGCAACGAACAACGAATTGATTTATCCACATTCCATAACTGCAATAAATAATGTAATCTTTATTTTTTGAATAATTTTTATTGCAGTGTATCGTCGCAGTGTCATTATTTTTATTTAATGTAACATAACCATTTCTAAGCTGATATACCTGACACTCTGAATCTGATTAAACCAAAAATAATACGCATAGATATAATAGAGGCAAATTTTTACAATTTCAAAAAAATGTTTAAGATATGTACATACTTGTCTCAGTGGTTTCAATGAAAGATGGTTGATTTGAAATAAGAAATACCACCAGAAGCAAATTAAAAATATCGAAAATCATTTTTGGATTTCGTCAACGCAAGATATTTTAAAAATTTGTAGCAAAATTTAACATAAGCGATTTCCTAATCACTTCAGTGATCAATACTGAAAAAAAAATTTTATTTGCTAATACGAATGGAAAGTTTATATATATAGTAACAAGATAGCCAAAATTGACACGTGCTTTTAGCATTTTTAAGGTAGAAAAACTTTGATTTCTAAAATTAGCCAAAAAAAACTTCGTTTACATATACAAACAGTGTGAGTCTACAAAAGGTAAATAAAAAAAAAAATTAACAAACATATATATTTAAACATTAAATGTTTTATTAAAAATAATGTTGAATATTTTACATAAAAAACTTAGAAAATTAAATTTAAAAAAACATAAAAAGTTATCAGCAAGAGAGTATAAATTACTTTTTTTAAAATGTCAAATCTAATCAAATAAAAATACGAACTCGTTAGAGTTTTTATACATATATATATACACAGTCGCTTAGAGAAATAAATATTCTAATAATCTCTTAATAAATGTTACAAGTCTTTATTTTTTCATATATGTAAACTAACAAATTATATATTTTTAGTAATATTAATTATAATAATATTTAAATATAAAGAAAATTATAATTTTTTTTAATTTGATGTAAAATTTAATTTATTTTTGCAAATTAAATTAAATTTTTGTTTCATTTAATTCACAAACAGGTGGAGGATTAGACCATTTTCCATCAATACAGAATAACCATCCTTCTCCTTTTAATTTATAATTATTATTTTTACATCTATATTTTAATTCCATAACAGAATTAGCTGTATGAAATGGGTAAACATGTCCATTTTCTAAATTGTAGTGCAAAGGACTTTTTAAACAATCATTATCTGCAAAAAAAACATTAAATATTTATCAATAAACAAAAGTAAATATATCAATTTAATTTTTTATAAAACATAAAAAATTTTCAAAATTTTAGTCATTTTTAAAAATGTTTAAAAATTATAAAAAATTAATATACTGTCATTTATTCCAATTTTTAACTGTAACATTAAATTAAAACATATGAATTAAAACTTTCATGATTTAGAAGGAATAAAAAAATAATTAAGTATTAAAGAAAATGTTATGAATAATTCTTACGAATACAACGAATAGCCAATTCATTAATCCATTTTCCATAACGGCAGTAAATAACTGAATCTCCAGTTCTCGAATAATTGGGATTGCATTCCACCACCGCACGAGTTATCTTTTCATTTAATGTAGGGGAGAGCGGGGCAAAGCCGCTATGTGGGGCAAAGGCGTTTTTCAAAATATCTTCCTTCTTTCTCATCTAATACAATTTTTGTTTACAGTTTATTATTAATATGATTAAAGCAATTAATTAGAAAAGAAAAAAACTCGAAAATATTAAGTACAATAAGAAATATAATATAAAAATAGTTTTTGCAAGGAAGAGATGAAAATTTCGTTGATCGAAGATTCAAATTTAAAAAATAGTTTTAAGCACTTGGGTCTTAAAAATATTTCGATTGAATAAATGAATCATTTATCTACACGATCTGCATTAAATTTAAATTCATTTTTTTATTTATATAAGTGAAATTTTAAAAATAAAAAATGTTTGTCATTGGGGGCAAAGCCGTTTAAAAAATGTTTTGTAAAAACAGTTGAAAATGAAAATCTGCATTACCTTTAGACATGAAGGATTTCTAACTTCAAGCGCATCAAATGTCAACAAAAATGTTATATATTTTATTCAATAAAATAACTCCAAAATTTGTCTATTGGTAAATATTGTTATTCTTAAAAAATGTTTGTAAACAATATATGTATGTATATCAATATAATGTATATTATTATTAATTTAAAATACAATTAAACAATAAAAAAATGTACTTTTAAATATTATTAATAATTAAAAATACAATTACAAAATAAAAAGAAATTATTATAAAATATACAAATATCCATTAAATGAAAACAAATATTTTAATTTCATTTTATTTACAGACTTCAATTTTATTTTTTAAATTTCAAATTTCCCATTTTTCACACTGCGCATGTGCATGCATTTCTGACGCTGAAAGCATAAGGGCCAACGCACAATAGCTTCGCGAAAGTCGTTCGCGAACGAGATGCATGAGATAGAAAAGGATACGAATATATCGCTTTCGCGAAGCTATTCTGTTTAGGCCTTTAATCGTTACATTGGATTTCTCCTCCTTTTTTATTGTTTTTTTAATTCACTGATTGTTTTTTATTCACTTATAAAAAAGGTGGTTGACATTAAAAAAAAATATGAATGTGTTGAAATAGAAAAAAATAGATTAATACAGATCTAAAATTTACTTATTAAAAGTTAATCGTTTTGAATTCAAATTCGCCATTTTGGTATAGTTTCATACTACAGGAAGTGTCGACTTGTGGCGCTACCAGTAAACTCCCACTAAAACCATTTCTTCCTCATGTTCCTCATTGTTCTACTCGTCGCAGAGAGAAGTGTAAGTAAAAAAGTGAATTCTTTGTTAATATCATTTGAGTGTTTAAAATTTTTTTCATTGATCTATTCGGTGTTCTTGTTAGTTATTTTATTCGTCCGAAATTCAGAAATACTCTTCAAATAAGTAAGAATCGGGTTCTAAATTGAATTAAAATAGTAAATTTTTGCGGTGTGAGATTCTATGTCCGCCCCATTTTGTGCACGCTTGGCTTGGCGTCATTTTTTCCCCACAATCGTAGAATGTGGTTCACAGAATTTTTGCGTTATTAATCGATAAATTTTTGTAAAAATAGATATTATTTCGGTATTTCTGTATTTTATTTACAAAATTAATCGAATTTATAATATATTGGATGATGGAATAATCGTTAATAGTAAATATATTCATCGTAAATGGAAGTGCAATTTTTTCTCACTCTAGAAGCATCGGTGCTATTTTCTCTATTATTTTACTTTGCTCGCGATCAAAAATATATTGCCAACTTGTGACGTCACACACATAATGTATATATATATATATATATATATTTATTTATTTCAAAAAATTATTTTAAATCTATTCATTAATACTTAATTATATAATATATAATTTCAACAATATATTATAATAATCTTAATTAATTAATAATAATATTAATATTTAAATATATTAAATTGTGTATTTTCACTTAAAAATTTCACAACATAACCTATAATTTTAGTTTCTAATGTCCCTTTCTTCAGATCGCGTCACATATTCAAAAAACAAAACAAAACTCAAAAATGTGTCTATCAATAAATATTATTATATTTAAAAAATATTTGTAAACTAATTAAAAGTATTTTATCTATTTATTTTTATAAAATAGAGTTTGTTTAACTAGAAAAAACAATTTCTATAGTATTATTTTCTTCTTGCAGTTAACGTTTTATTTGGAAATCCTCAGTTTCATCGTCAATCATCGTTCTGATTTGAAATAATCAGTAGCATTGTCAGTTTCCGTTTTTGCATTTTGAAAGAATCAATTGCATCGTCACTTACCGGTATTCTTGGATATTCTGCATTTCACTTGTCATTTTCTGCTTTCGTGTGAGGTAAGAATTTTTAATAAAAAATATTGAGATTTTGATTGGATTTTCCTAAAATTATATACCCCTCGATATGTCGGGTATAAATGTAAAGGGATTACACAATCGATATTATTCTTATTTTCGATTATTACATATTGCCATTTTAATTTTTTTAATATTTAAATATTCAAAAACATTAAATTTATTAATTTATTGAATATTATTATATTATTATTAATTTATTCTTATAAAATAGAATTTCTTTAACTGGAAAAAATTATTTCCATAATTTTATTTTCTTTTTCCAAATTTAAAATCAATTTTGTGGAAAAAAATAAAAAAAAAAGTCGTCCATGGGTAAACAGAATTATTTTTAAAAATTATTTTTTGCATTTATTCTTATAAAATAGAGTATGTTTAACTAAAAAATATTATTACCACAATTTTATTTTCTTTTTCCAAATTTTTAACCAATTATTTTCAAAAAAAAGAAACTTAAAAATGTGTCTATCAATAAATATTATTATATTTAAAAAATATTTGTAAACCTATTAAAAGTATTTTATCTATTTATTTTTATAAAATAGTGTTTGTTTAACTAGAAAAAACAATTTCTATAGTATTATTTTCTTCTTGCAGTTAACGTTTTATTTGGAAATCCTCAGTTTCATCGTTCTGATTTGAAATAATCAGTTGCATTGTCAGTTACCATTTTTGCGTTTTGAAAGAATCAATTGCAACGTCACTTACCGGTATTCTTGGATATCCTGCATTTCACTTGTCATTTTCTGCTTTCGTGTGAGGTAAGAATTTTTAATAAAAAATATTGAGATTTTGATTGGATTTTCCTAAAATTATATACCCCGCGATATGTCGGGTATAAATGTAAAGGGATTACACAATCGATATTATTCTTATTTTCAATTATTACATATTGCCATTTTAATTTTTTTTAATATTTAAATATTAAGAAAGATTAATTTTATTAATTTATTCAATATTATTATATTATTATTAATTTATTCTTATAAAATAGAATTTGTTTTACTGGAAAAAATTATTTCCATAATTTTATTTTCTTTTTCCAAATTTCAAATCAATTTTGTGGAAAAAAATAAAAAAAAAAGTCGTCCATGGGTAAACAGAATTATTTAAAAAAAATTATTTTTTGCATTTATTCTTGTAAAATAGAGTATGTTTAACTAAAAAATATTATTACCACAATTTTATTTTCTTTTTTCAAATTTTTAACCAATTTAATATGTAATACAATCTGAAGAAAGGAACATTAGAAGCAAATGAATTGTAGGTTGTGTTTACGACAGTTTTACTTGAACTAAAAGTTTATTTTTGATTTTGTAAGACTGATATCAGATTTATTGAATATTTTGAATGTAAAGAAGATATATTAACATTATTTTGCATTACAAGTTGAACTTCTTTGTGTATTTTCACTTTAAAATTTCACAACATAACCTATAATTTTATCTTTTAAAGTCCCTTTCTTCAGATCACGTCACATATTAAAAAAAAACTCAAAAATGTGTCTATCAGTAAATATTATTATATTTAAAAAATATTTGTAAACCTATTAAAAGTATTTTATCTATTTATTTTTATAAAATAGTGTTTGTTTAACTAGAAAAAACAATTTCTATAGTTTTATTTTCACCTTGCAGTTATAGTGTTGATTGGAAATCCTCTGTTTCATCGTCAATCATCGTTCTGATTTGAAGTAATCAGTTGCATTGTCAGTCACCGTTTTTGCGTTTTGAAAGAATCAATTGCATCGTCACTTACCGGTGTTCTTGGATATCCTGCATTTCACTTGTTATTTTCGGCATTAGTGTGAGGTAAGAATTTTTAATAAAATATTGAGATTTTGCATGGATTTCACTAAAATTATTTACCCCGAGATATCTCGGATCTAACCGCAGATGGGATAACACAATCGATATTGTTCACATTTTTACTTGAGAGGCTGATAGTAAAAGTGGGTTATAATTTGAATGGGAGTAATAATGGGTTAAAAGCTTTGCGAGCAAAAACGGGTTAAGATATTTTGATTAATTTATCTATTTAGAAGAGATATTGATGACTATTCTTTGGGACGCATGAATATTCCCTTCATTAGATTTGGCGGATCTTTTTTGGTGTCAAATTAAAAATTATCGAATTTACATTTAGTAGAATTTAAAAAAAAAGATTTTATAATGAGCCCAATTTTAATATAAAAAAATTACTATTTAACAAATTTCTGATTTTGTAGAATTTCTATTTAACTGGACTGTGATAGAGCAGATTTTCTAATATATCCAATTTTCAAGTAATACAATTTCCATATGACAAAATTTATATCTCGAAAAATGTTTATTAAACAAATTTTTTATGTATTAGAATTGTTCTTTTGTCGAAGTTCTATTTATCCAAATATTCACTTAAAAGTGTTTTAATAAACAGAATTTCCAATTAAAAGAATTTCTATATAAAAAAATTCTCATTTAACAAAAGTTTTATTCAAAAAATTTCTATAGAATCTAATTTTTATTTGATAATGTAGTCATTTGACAGAAATTCTTCTAAGCTAAATTTTTAAGACAATTCTATTAACCCTATAAAAAGAAACTGAATTTTCTCACCCTCTAAAGGGTAACTGGGGTGTCCATACACCCTTCAAACTTATGTAAAAAGGTTTCTATTTGACATAAAACTAATTATATATAGTGATTTATATTGGTTTTTAGTAAGGAAAACAATAGTTTTACTGATTTTTTGATAAAATAAAAAAAAAAAAACTTGAAAAAAAGAAAAAAAAATGAAAAATTTGTCAAATTTGTCTTTTTTTAAAAAAATGTTTTAGTTTTTCGAAAATTTGACTATTTAAAAAAAATCTATCAGATTTTGAAAGGTGAAAAAATATTGTTTTTTGCATTAATTAAAAAAATATAATTTCTTGAACAACTGAAGTGCAAAAAAATAGAAGAAAATTGACCAATTGAAAAAATGACAAAAATTAATTATTAAATAGATTTTATCAATTAATATTTATTAAAATAGGTGTTATAAATAAAAAAGTTCACAAATTGAATATGCATATAATATATGTGAATATATTATTATCAATTATAATTCTCAATTGAAATTTCATATCAAGTTATAAATAAAAAATGTTTTTTCTAACAATATATGTTTTGTTTAAAAATGTATTTTTGCAACACTAACCTCTAAAGTTAAATTAAATTTTAAATAAAATTTAAATTCACTTATTTTGTGAATTTTGTAACGTTAGGGGGTAACAATAGTTTTTAATTTGACACTACAAAAATTCCGTCAAGTCTAATGAAGAGAACATTTTCTTTTAAAATTATTATTTAAATAAATATTTTAAACCTGAAATTAC